GTGGAACCAAGAATTACCTGCAGAAATAGGGTTTTCATCAGTCGAGAAGAATGATGCAGATACCCCCGAAGCCTCTCTACCCACCTGAGATTTATTATCCTAAGTCAACAGATAGTTCCCATCAGGGCCATCACCATAGAATCTTCATGACAGCGCACAGGTGAAATGCCCAGAAAAGCAAAACAAACCACACACCAATGCTTCCCATCATTTAAAAGCCAGTAATCCACTTACTTAATCTCACTCACAGAAGTATCTGCATAACTATATTCTAAGACAAAAATCCCAGTGTTTCTCGTTAATTTCATTCTCTTTATTGCCGGTATATTTTCTTTTTCTTAGCTTCGTCATTTTTGTGTTAGGGGAGAACTGAGTTAAGTTGGCCATCTTAGAAGATTGAGCCCTCGCAGTAGAACATGATTCTACTTTTGCCCTAAGCTTATCTAGTCGGTGCACGTTCCCCCGTGAAACTGAGACAAGGATAGAGAAGCCTCAATGCATCAGACAAGAAAACAATTTTTACTATCGGTTTCTCCCACACTTTCACCCTCTCAATGAGGTACAGTACCCAGCATAACGAGCAACGTGACTGCGGCTGCTAGAAACTCTTGCCAATTGCCAGGCCCCTGCTTATCAAAAACTAGGCAATGGCAAGGGCAGCAGAATTCTCAGTCCCAGATCCAATTTTCTTAGTAAAGTTTCCCAATTTCAGGAAAGCGACACAAAAGATCAATCCAACATAGTCCATCGAATGCGATCAGCCAGATAAAGTATCAAAAACGAGTAAATTTGCCCCAAGAGAACCAAAAACACAGCACCCAGACAAACTCCATCAAACTACCGACAAGTCCGCCCACATCTAAGAAGCAAATTCCCTTCACGCTCACCGCACCGCCATTAGGATCGTATCATATACCCAATCAAAGAAGGAAGAAAAAGCGACACGGAGAAATTCACGAGCAACCAAGCTAAAGTAAACCCACGACCAGGGTAGCTACCCAGCATCGCACACGTACTAAGTCAGGCAACAACAAACTCCGAAGCATTTGGATTTTCCCCGATCCTAGCATCAAAAACAGAGCCGACGCAACTATTGAGCCCTACCTCGAGCTGCCGACCGCTCGAGCCGCCTTCTGTGGGCCCGAGGCGAGAGGCTCCCTTCGAATTCTGGGACGCGTCGTCCTCGTGATCCTCCGACGGGACCGGAGCAGGCTTCGGGGAGAACTTCCGGCCGGTCTTCGAGAGCCTGAACGAGACACCCATCGGCTAGGGTTTCGGCGGCGGATTCCGGTGGTGGTTTTCCTCCGACGCTGGGATCATGAGAAAGCGAGAGGGAAGAGGTGAGCTCGCGGGGAAGATTCCGCAGAGGAAGAAGGAAAAGGAGGAGGAGGAGGAGGAGGACTTTCGCAGAAGAAAAGTGCGAGAGAAAAACGAAGGAAAAGCGGTCGAACCGGCAACGGGAATCGACCGGTTGGACCGGCACCTGTCCGGACGGAGTGACCCGAACCGGATCGTTGACGGGGGTGGCTTGTGGGCCTGGTCATTGGGGGCGGACTTGGCCAGATTTTTGGGGCCGTTGGGCTAGGCCCGGGCAAGGGCTTTGAGGTTCAGCCCCGGGCCGGCCTACTTATATGTCTCGCTTCAAAGAATATAGGGTTAATACCACGAAAAACCCCAAATTGGTACTGCCCGTGACAAATTTATCAAAAACTAATTTTTTAACCGTAAAAAACCCCGAACCGATATACTTGTGATAAATTCATCCTCCATCAGTTTCCGTTAGATTTTACCATTAAATTACTGAGTTGGATGACACGTGATAGATGACGAGTGTACCGGTTTGATGTTTTACCCCCTCCGTTTGTTATAGGTGTACCGGTTTGTGATTTTTTGTAGTATTAATCCAATTTAACGGAAATTAAATGAAGGTAAATTTTTTACAAGTGTATCGGTTTGGGGTTCTTGGTGGTAAAAAAAATTAGTTTGGGGTAAATTTATCACAGGTGTATCAGTTTGGATTTTTTGGTAGTCAAATGGAATTTTTCGTGATATTAACCCAAGAATATAATGTTATGTTTTTTTAGTAATTCAACCTTGATAGTTTTTTTTTTGGATCGAATTCAACCTTGATAATTAAAATTTATAAATTCTGACAGCATAAAATAGCCTGAATTCCTTAGCATAAAACTCATAGGTAAGGTAGTAATACGAAATAATATAAAGGCCTATATAGTAGTCTTGATATATTCTTCATACTTATTTTTTTTTAAGCTGAAATTTTCACACACAAAGAATAAAATGGTGGCTCGGTATCTATTGCTTGCTAGAAGAGAAAGTAATAAAATGCTTCCACACAAGTATGACAAGTTCCCAGTCCAAGGAGACAAACTTTCGATAACCCTTTTGTTATTTTATTGAATTTTCAGAAGAAAAAATCAAGGATTCATGACAAGTATGCTCACGGCCGGATGTTTCGAATCTCATGATTTACTCGTAACGGGAATAATATCTTGAGATCACTACTTTTGGCTTTTGAATTTGGGTATTAATTTAACTCATTAACTAGTTTGAGCACGTCACAAGATACAAGATAATTTGAATTTTGACAAACACTAGTTAACACACAATGTGGTATTTGTCTAGGGTAAACCTGTCAAACGGGTGGGTCAGGTCGGGTTTGGATTAGGTCATAAATGATCCGATCCAAATTGATCAATTAACTCGTTTATGACCTGTTTTATTTGTAATGTAGATATCTTGACCTATATCCAATCCATAATGCTAAAACACTTCCATAGAAATTTTTTATGATTTTAAAAAAAAATTGAGACTCCATTTGTTTCGTGAAAAATGTGATATTTTTTGAAAATATTTTCCATAAAATCATTTTTCAAGAAAATGGCAATATTTTTCGGATTTTGGCCGAAACCTGAAAATGAACTAGAAAATACATTTCACCATTTGGTATAAAAAATCTTAATTGATTTTCCTTCGTGCACCCCTTTTTATCATTTTTATTTTTCAAAAACTAGAATTTTTAATTATTATTATTATTTTTTATTTTTGCTTCACTTTTGGCCGGCAACTTGCCACATGCGAGGAATGAGCTTGCCCGATTCCGGCTAGCTGAGCCTCGCCAACCTCGGGCGAAGTCGAGCTTGCCTGAGGTTGTCAAGCTAGAGCTCGCTCAAAGCCGGCAAACTCAAGGCTTGATCAATCGATGAGGCTCGAGTCTCGCCTAAGACCAGTGAGCTCATTTCTTGCTAAAATGAAGGAATAAAAAAAAGAAAATAAAAGAAAACATAAAAAAAGAGAAAAAGAGAAAAAATCAAAATAATTTCGATTTTTAAAATATATATTTTTTAAGGCAAAGAGGGAGAGAGTGGTGTGGGCCTAATGGGGTAGAAATGGATTCTAAACTCAACCCATTTAGACCTATTTATTTTAGGTTTAAAATTTTAAAACCCATTTAAAATAGGCTATTCAAAATTAAAGTGACCTATATATGATCAATTTATTTTTTCAATGGATCATATGTGGGTTTAAGATCCATTTTGACAGGTCTAGTATATTGCAATCAAGTCCTAAAATTTATCACGAAAGTACAATTGAGTTCTCAAATTTTCAAAAAGTATAATCAAGTCCTAAAACTTGTCAAATTGATCAAATTAAGTTCTTCCGTTAATTACACTATTTGAAATTTTTAGGGCTCGATTGCACTTTTGTGACAAGTTTTAGGACTTGATCGCATTTTTTGAAATTTTATAACTCGATTGCACTTTTGTTACAAGTTTTAGGACTTGATTGCACTTTTTGAAAGTTTTAGGACTCGATTGCACTTTCACGATAAATTTTAAGACTGAATTGCACTTTTTGAAAGTTTTAGGATTCGATTGCACTTTCACGACAAATTTTAAGACTGAATTGCACTTTTTCACGATAAGTTTTAAGACATTAAGTGAACTTATCCCATCTTTATTCTACTTGAGGACAAATTCTGAATGAAGTTTAGTAAAAGTGAGGCAAAACCTGGTTTCCCTTAATGTATAGAAGATATATCATTCGTATATAACTTTTTATTAGCATCATGCCAAGCAATTGAACAATTAATGAAGGGACTTTGAGGTTTCCATAGGTTCTTAGTCGCATGTTTCTAGCCTTGATTTGCAATTTTGAGGGTTTAATTTAAGTTACGCTAGAGGTGGTGCACCGGCTGTGTCTCTTTCGTGGGACAGTATGCGGATGACGAAAATGTTCAGCGACCGTCGACACCACGTGCCATGGAGAAAAATGATCAGCGAGCGTCGCACACCACGTGCCAATAGGTTAGACATGGACGACGAGTCGCGATCGCGGTGGTCACAAAGCAAATCAGTTGACAGCGATGTGGTGCGAGACGCGCGCTCTTATGCAATGTTTTGTTGTGGTGACGAGTTCATTTGAGGATTTAATGCGGAGATTAGTGCCGAAGGACAATAATATGTTGTCTGGGGATCGACGCAATCACCTCAATGCATCGGAATTGCTTCAACTTGGAGCAAACATTGGTCGCCCTCTTTTTGGCCCTTCCGCGTGACTTTACTTCTTGTTATAGCAATCTAAATAGGTGATTTCGATATTCCACATGAATCCCAATAGGCTGGTGGGGCGTGCCAGACAAAGTATTAAAATCACAGTGACTAGAGTGAAGTTCACATGATTCAAAACCTTGAGAAGTGATTGAGAAACCGAAATTTAATTCTAGGTCTATATTCCAATCTTCTCGATTAATGCATATTATATTCATGCTAGTACGAATGTTTGATCCTACTTTGTCGCTTTACTTCCCCCTTGGTAAATGCAGAGAATTGCTTGACAATTATGCATCCAAAGTGGTGTCGCAAGTAGTGTGTTGCGGGTGTTTCGGAAAGGGTACTGCTTTTTTGTTGTTGTAATGTTATGCAGGGTAAATAAGTGCTGCTGTCCATGATCACTATATCAATTTATTGGTTATAAATTTTGGCCGTTCTGAGCATGTCGTTGAGGTAAATTCACAGCTGCTGTGTTGCCTTGCTTTGTCCTCTCCAATTATAATCCTAAGTTCGATCGCTCTTTGAGACGGCGCCCCATCGTTGCGCCTTTGGGTGCCGACATCGAGTTCAGCCATGGGATTTTCACTGGTCCCCCAAAATGCTCGTGAACTGTGGAAGGAGTGGGAGCTGCGGTTCCTCGTCCTCCTCAGCTTGTTCCTCCAATTGACCCTTGCGACTCAGGGCAGCCGGAGGAAATCCATGTACAAGTACTGGATCCAAGTCGTAGTCTGGACAACGTATCTATCGGCCGACTCCATCGCGACCCTCACGCTCGGCGTCCTCTCGAACCGTCTGGCCAACATCAAGGAAGCGAAGGGGATGATCGATCCGAAGAGCCAGATCACAGCGTTGTGGGCACCGTTCCTTCTCCTCCACTTGGGCGGGCCCGACACAATCACCATTCACCGCATATGCCCTGGAGGACAATGAGCTATGGCTGAGGCAGTTGGCACGGCTTTGCGTCCAGGTGGGACTAGCTTGTTACATTTACTTCCTGGCCTTGTCGGGGACAACACTGTCGATATTAGCGGCTGGCATGATCCTGGTGGGGTTCATCAAATATGCAGAGAGGACATGGTGTTTTTGTACTTGGCAAGCAAAGATCGATTTCGAGATTCGATGTTTTCGCTTCCCGATTTTCGTCCCATATACCCCAGGATAATGGAGCAGTACACTCTGAAGACAGAGGAGGGTTACCGAGTCAGCATTGACGAGGTCACGGAGGTTCCGGTTCCGGAGGATCTCTCATTGAAGATCAGTCAAGCCGGCGACGAAGAGAAAGCCACGACCCTGGTCAAAGCCTATGAGTTGTTCAAGATCTTCAAGCTTCTCTTCATGGGCCTTATTCTCAACTCTGGCGACCTGGAGGCCAGTAAGCGCATGTTCAAGAACCCTGGCGCCATGGACTCAGCTATGGCTTTTGGGATTGTGGAGATCGAGCGCGGGTTCATGTACGATCTGCTGTACACCAAGGCACTGTTGCTGAACCGTGCTTGGGGCATCATTCGTTGGGTCATTAACCTCTCGGTGCCGTGTGCCGTGTTGGTATTCTTCTCCTTACAGGATAGGAAGGATTACCCCAAAGTTGACATATGTATCACCTTCTTGCTGGTAACTGTGGCTATTCTTTTAGAGATTTACTCGGTTCTTCTCGCAATTTCATCCGATTGGGTTGACCACTGGCGGCTTCAGAGACCCAGGGGATCCACAATTTCATCTGCCGTGGCTTTTCTCCGGATCTGCCCACACAAAAGATGGTCGAATTCCGTGGCCCAGTTCAGCCTCTTGGGATTATCTTTGCGGAAAAGAAACGGGATCTTCCGCAAGTGTCCGTGCCTCGCAAAGTTAGAAGAGAAGTTGGAGAAGAACTTCTGCATCGATTACAAAGTGTTCAAGACCAACATAAAAGAATGGATCTTAGGTCACATGAGGGCTACGATAAACGATCTGGAAAGGAAAGACGGATTGAAAATTGGGTTGACGGGTCTTAAGCTGGAGGCCAGCGAAGTACTGAAGAGGTCCAACAACGTTCACCTGAACTGGAGTGTGGAAGGTATGGAGTTCGACCAGAGCATCCTCATCTGGCACATTGCTACTGAGCTCTGCCACTACAAGGACCACGGCAAGAGGCAGGACCAAATCTCGGACGACGTCACAAACTACAAGATGTGTAAGTTGGTCTCACGATACATGCTCTATCTTTTAGTACTCCATCCTTCCATGTTGCCAACAGGGATAGGGGTGCTCCGATATGAAGATACTTCGGTCGACGCTCAGAAGTTCTTTGAGGACAAGCTAGCGGTGTCGTCAAAGAAAGAAAACAACATCATCTCATCGAATGTCAAGAAGTGGGTGAAGAAATTATTCAAGAAAGAGGAACATGCCCACCCCGGTGCTCAATGCTGCAAGAGGGCGCACAAGTCAACAGAGTCGCGTGATCTATGTGAAGTCTGCCATCTTCTGCTCCAACTGGGAACTAAGCTGCCCACCAGGAAAATAGGCGGTGGCAAAAACAGGTCGGTGCTGTTTGATGCATGCCATCTCGCATACCAGTTGAATGAAATCGAGTTGAAAAACTTCGGCAGGAAATGGGACTTGATCGGCAAAGTCTGGGCGAAGTTCTTGATATACGCGGCTTGCCAGAGCAATAGCTCCAAACACCGCGAGAGCCTGAGCAGAGGAGGAGAGCTTCTCAGCCACGTTTGGCTTCTCATGGCGCATCTCGGCATAGCGGACCCGGTACAAACTTCCGAAGCACAATGCATTACCAAACTGATCCTGAACTAAAAACTTTCAGGTGGAACGTGTCCCTTGGTTAACCTACAGTTGTTGTTTGAGTAAGATAAAATAAGTTAAGCTCATCATCTTGAGATGGTGAGGGAGTTATTTCAATATATGTTGTACTTGAGGAGTCAGGAAATAATGAAACTGTGAATCGGTTGTTCTTCACCAGAGGCATTACCCTGAAGCCAGCCAAATTGGGACGGAGAATTCGAGTCCCTCAAAGTGGTTTGTAACTTTAGGCATATCAGCACAGAAATTAGCCACTCCTCAAAAGTGTCAAGTAACTTTTCATGTTGATTTGCTTAGCAACTCCTTAGCAACTCCTTAACGTAATTGATTTTCACCCCGGTTTTTACAATTTTAATTTGGGAAAGCGAGTATGTATCTATATGCAAGACCGGGACTGGTAATTTTTTTAGAGCGATTCGTAAGTTGGAATTAAAAAAGAGTAAGTTTTAACCTATCATAAATTCGTCGCTAGCTTGTCTACGTGGTTAATAACATTTTACTTAGAAAAATCCAGTTCGGGCCAGTTTTTCCCTATTTAACACTTCTAGTTATGACTTTCTCCAAAAAGTTTAAAAATAAAAAAAATATTTTGAGTTTTGAAACATAATGAAAAACTCGCTCTAAATGGTTAGACCTGACAATATTGAATACTTTGAAAAGTTTCAAGTGTTTCATAACATATAAAAATCAAAATATGAGCGTCGCAAAATTCATGGAAAATTAAGAAGTACCTCTTTATTCCTTAAAGTGGCTAGTACATCTCACATTCAAATTTTAAACGGTTTGATTTTCTCTATCTTTTTTTATCTCCACAATATTATGCAGCAACTTCTCCGTCTACACTTATATTTTTTAGGGTTAATACCACAAATAACCCCAAACTGATATATCTATAACAAATTTATCTCAAATTAATTTTTTAACCATCAAAAGCCCCAAACTGATACATTTATGACAAATTTAAATTTTACAGTCAAATTACTGAATTGAATGACATGTAACAATTGACAGGTGTATTAGTTTGGGATTTTACTCTCTGTTTATCACATGTGTACTGGTTTGTAGTTGTTCGTAGTATTAATACAATCCAAAGGAAACTAATGGAGGGTAAATTTGTTAAAAATGTACTAGTTTAGAATTTTTTGTTGTAAAAAAATTAGTTTGAATTATATTTGTTAAAGGTGTACCAGTTTGGAGGTCCACATATAAAATGATTGGTTGACAATTGGAACAAAAAGAAAATGGCTCGAGGCTGTGAACCCATGTTAAGGGATAGTCGATGCAAAAGCTGAATTTGCTACGTGTGGAGAAGAAAAACATGTACATGATAGTCATTGAAATTACATATTTAGTTACCGTTTGTTTCGCAGAAAATAAATAGTTTAAAAAATATTTTTCTGAAGATGACGGCTCGTATCGCTTACAAAAATGGATGAAAAAAAAATTAAAATATCACCTATGAAAATGTTTAGATATACATTATTGTCAATAATGAAACATTTTTCGTTAACTAATTATTTCAAATGATATAAACGACCAATAAAGAAAGCACGCTCGGAATGTTCTGATTTGATGCTATTTGATTGTGCAGATGGTGTGGAAATAGCAATTAAGCTTGATTTTTTTTGTCGAAAGAAAATTATATTAATCACTCAAAAGAATACATGAGAAGTACATAGATTTCATGGCAAATCAAAGCAAAGTCCAAAATACTGCAAAACAAAGGCAAATCTAGAAAACAAAGAGGATGAGCAAGGAACGAGTAGGGTTAAGCATATGTTTGCTCCGGAAGAACAATTTGTAAAGTCAAATAATTCGCGGTCTATCACTAGATCTTAAATCTTCATCATTGATGAGCACACATCGGAAATTCCTTCTCCAATGACTACGGCGTTCCCAGTTAGCGATGCACATCTAGGTTTGGCTTCCTCTACGCCATCGCCGTATGGAGACAACAAAAACAGGTTGAACGAACATAAATCTAATATTTGGGAGAGCAAATCTTCGTGGTTCAACTAGATACTAGAGCTCCCGCGATCACCATTGAAGCTGGTGCAAGAAGGTTTGGGGTAGAAGAAGAAACCACTCCACTTAATTTAGATGAGAAATCGCTCCACTTGAGGGGTAGAAGAAGGAACCGCTCCACTTGGGAGTTGATTTTAAGGAGAACACTTTAGACTTTGGGGTTATGTGTTGCGATCACTTCTGGATGGCGACGCTCCGAGCTACAACCTGCGATCACTAGCGAAGAGAAAATATATTCTAATTTTTAAAACTTGCCATCTTAAAAGAGTCATCCAAGAATACAAGTTGCGAACACTTCTAGTGGGTGAGACTCCGAGTCTACAACTTGTGATCACTTGTAGAGACTATTATATAAACTCACCATCTTAAAAGAGTCGCATGAGGCTACAAGCTGTGAATACTTCCGGAGGGTAAGACTCCGAGGTTACAACCTATGATCACTTGCAAAGACTATGATATAAACCCACCATCCTAAACGAGTCATATGAGGCTACAAGCGGCGAACACTTCCGGATGGTGAGACTCCGAGGTTACCACCGTGATCACTTGCAGAGAATATATCAAAACAAATGCCTTGGTGGCATTGGCATTCTTGGTGCAATCAATATAACAATATCATCAAATTCGCAATTGAGTTAATATCATGCAAAAATTCCGAGATCGCATGGGTAAGTCAAACGGAATGTGTCAAATAACGTGCAACTAGTAGCAAAAGCGTGCTCGGCACAATCAATACAAGAAAGCATCAAGCTAAATTGATCTAATTTTGGAAAATTTTGAATGTCATTCATTATCATGAAATTGTCAACCAGTTTTGGTAAATGCCATCAATTATCAAATTCCTTTGGAAAAGAATTATCGACAGGATAATCTTGACATGTTTAAAGGTTTTGTTAGAAATGCCAAATGAAAGCACCTTAGTCGGAAATGTCTTTTCACAATCTCTCAAAGAATAGGCTTTTGATCCCATCTGTGGGAATTCAATCTAATCGCTGAAGCTGAAATTTTCGTATTACTTATTTATATTCTTCATACTTATTTATTTTTTCAAGCTGAAATTTTCACACACAAAAAATAAAATGGTGGCTCGTTGGGAAGGCCCAGCAGCCCATTTTTTTCCCTCCAGCAAGCTTAGGCACTTGCTGTAGCGGGGAAAAGTACCAAAAAAAGTAAAAAAACCTATTACATTGGTACCAATTCAGTCTTAAATCTTTCAATTGGATTAATTTAGTCTTAAACCTTTTTGCATTAGCCGTAAATCGCTGACATGGACGCCGGCGGTCTTAGTGGCATTGGCCAGCTCTGATGTAGACAAATTTTATAATAGGACCCGACGCCCTCGCCTGTGGCTGGCGAGGGCACGGGGGCCCTCACGCAGACCAAGCGAGGGTCGCCGACCCTTGTCTGTGGCCGACAATGGTCAGTCGGCGACTTTGCCGGCCAATAGTTTCTAGAAAAAGAAAAAAGAAAGAAAAGAAAAGAGAAAAAAAAGAAAAAAAATTAAAAAATCTGAAAAAAATTATTAAAAAATTATAAATTTTGTCCGTGTCAGTACTAGCCGTGCCATGTAGGACTGCTAGTGTCTATGTAAGTGATTTCCGGCCTAAATTGACTCGATGGACTGAATTGGTATCAATACAAAAATGTTTACAAATAAATTGGTCTAATTGAAAGGTTTAGGATTAAATTGATACAAATGTAATAGGTTTATGACTTTTTTGGTACTTTTCCTGCCGAAGCGTGCAAGTTTGGGCCCTACAGTGCCTCTAAAAGTTAGGCTCGAGCCCCACCAAGTATACCTAATAAGTAGGTTTGCCAAGGGGAAAAGTACAAAAAAAGTCTTAAACCTATTGTATTAGTATTAATTCAATCCTAAACCTTTTAATTGGATTAATTTAGTCTTAAACCTTTTTACATTGGTACCAATTAAGTCCATCCGGCCATTTTAGGCCGGAAATTGCTGAAGTGGATGCCATCCGTCCCGCTGGTTCTTTATCGAAAACCCATTTATATCAACGCTTAAATCGGAGCGAGTACGGGTCCAAAACGTGGACCAACTTGCCTTGACATTTTAAAATAACTTTAAAATAATTTTTCAAATTTTTTTTTGCTTTTTTATTTTATTTTCCTTTTCTTTATTTCTTCTCTTTTCTTTTTTTTTCTTTTCTTCCTCTTCCCTATGCCATCTTCCTCCACGATGATCGAGACAGAGGCCAAGGGCCGGATGCCCTCGCCGGCCACATGAGGAGGACCTTGGCAAGGTCTGTGCCCGAGCTTTATAAGCTGGCAAGATAATAGACAAACGGGCCCGTGCCCTTGCCGGATGGTCCGGCAAATCCGGGCCACCTTGTGAGAATGAGGCCTGGCCATCCTCCCTTTTTGAATTTCTACGATCATTGAGCGGACATGCCTTTGTCTCCGTGGCCTTTCTGGTCTGGCCTCTTTTTTTTTTTTTGCTTTGTCTCAACATGGTCTCCCTTCTTTTCAAATCCTTTTTTTTTTTTTTCATTTCTTTTTCTTTTTTTTTTTTTTTTTTTATGGCGGCTTTGCCCTTGCCAGGGGCTAGGCCTCCGCGGTTTTTTTCCCTGTTATTCTTGCCGCGCTTGTAGCCCTTAGGCCAGTTCCTACATGTGCTGACCGGTGAGGGTGCCCTCGCCCTTGCCGGCGGCCTTCGCCAATCATCGTGGAGGTTGGCGGCTAGCAGAGGGAAGAGGAAGGAAAGAAAACAAGAAAAAAAAGAAAAGGGAAAATAAAAGAAAAAATTAATTAAAAAAATTCGAAAAGTTATTTTAAAATGTTCATTCTAACGTTGGTCGTGCCACGTAGAATGGGTGGCGTCTACGTAAGCGATTTCCAGCCTAAATTGACCGGATGGACTGAATTGGTACTAATGTAAAAATGTTTAAGACTAAATTGGTCCACTTAAAATGTTTAAGACTGAATTGGTACAAATGTAATAAGTTTATAACTTTTTTGGTACTTTTCTCGTCTACCAAGTGATAGCACATTGCTTCCACACAGGTGTGATAACTTCCTAGTCCAGGGAGATACCCTTACCCTTCAATAACCCTTTCGTTTTCTTATGAATTTTTCGGAGATAAAATCAAGGATTCATATAATATGCTCCCAGCTGGATGTTCTGAATCTCATGATTTACTCATAACCAGAATAATATCCCGAGATCGCTACTTTCGGCTTTCGAATTTGGGTATAAATTCAACTTACTGACTAATTTGAGCCATCGTGCGATACAAGACGGTTTGAATTTTGATAAACACTAGTTAACACACCATAAAGTATGTGGTTTTTGAATAGGGGAATACATCAGATACCTACCTCTCGAGTTCCAAAATTGCGAATTGGTTTAAGCTCCGAGTGATTAGCGGGTCTTGTTTGCCACACTGGGTGATTAGTTGTTGTAAATAATAAAAGTTGAATGTAGTGAATTGAATACTGTCTATCAACTCACCGCTCAATCTTTGAAAACGCCTAATGATACACGTGATCTCTCGCAACCGCATTCATAGGACCGATACGATCATCTCGATTTTGCATGTAAAGAGGTAACATGTCTCTGCATGTGGACATCCTTAGTTGCAAGGTCAAAGATATAGTTCACCCACTAACATAACGTAGGAGAGAGAAAACATAAAAAAAATGATACGTCAGTATTTTCTATTAGCCAAATCGACGGAGTTAACGAGAGGACTTAATTGCATAAATTTGATAAGTTTTAAGTCTTAATGGCACTTTTTAGAAATTTGAGGAGTCAATTGCACTTGCGCAACAAGTTTTAGAACTTATGGCATCACTATAAGTTAAATATTTATAAAATTACCAAAGTGAATTCTTCTAGGTTCTAATTTGCGTTGCGCTTAATTTTACAAAATTGTATACCGCTACCTTGGATTTTCTTCCTTTTATCTTGTCCTTTACAGATTGCATAATAAATAATGTATGGTATGTGTCGTGACCCTCACGCAAGGTGCACCGATTAGGAGTTGATTAATGGATTACTAAGTTTACACCTTGCTCGGGCTCCTTCAAGCTCATACCAATTCACAACTTAGGTTCAATATTTAACATGCAAATCATTTTATTTTGGAATCACGATTAATCAGTTTATGGTGGGTTGATTGGAAAATGAAGTAAAGTATTGAGAGATTTATTTTACTTTTACGAACCAAAGATTAAATGGATTCGGGAACTTAATTAGACTAGATTTCTCTAATGCCCTATCGTTACATTTTCTCTCCGTTAGTTTCGGAGAGTAAATTTGTCATAGGTATACCAGTTTGGAGTTTTTGGTAATCAAAAAATTAGTTTGGTGTAAATTTATCATGGGCGTACCAGTTTGGGATTTTTCGTGGTATTAACCCAATTTTTTATGCCATGAATCCTAAATGATTGGCCAAAATTTAGGTGCCAACGGTATGAAGGGTGAGAGGCTTATTTTGCTTGTCTTATGATGTATAAATGGATATTTTTTTTTTGTGTGGGGATTGGGGGAAGGAGTTAGAAAATGCTTGGACCGGGATAAAGCGTATGCATATCTCTGGTCACAACAAAGACCGTTTTCCCACCACCACTAGTTATTTCAGACAATTTGAAAACTTAAGATTGGCCCTCGTGCACGCGCTACCTGAGTGTACGATTACTTTCGCGTCCTTCCTTCGAGAGTGAATAGATGAAGGATAACTATATTGACTGGCGAAGGATTATGTAGGATTAATCGATCGATCAAAGAAGATGCGGGCGCACGTCGTACGTGCGTATATGTTCATTTTCGCGTCCTTTGAGAGTGAATAGATGAAGGATCAACATATTGCCTCAGAAACGACTGCGTAGGATTATTTGGTTAATCAAAGAAGACGTGACCTTCTCTTATTAGAAATAAAGAGATAGATAGATGCCATATGTGCTGCTAACCTCTCGGGGAAATGAATATGAACAGTCGATTATGTAAAAGGCAAAAGGCCGGGATTTGGGACCAACCATTGCCTTGCTGGATTTCAATTAACAAGACTAAAGCAAAACAACTAAATAAGTGGATATTTTGCAATATGATAGATTGATGTTTGCAGCAACTTATGGAAGATAAAGCAAAGAGATGAACGTACAGATGATCGAAGAAGAGCAGTGGAGTGGCAGAAGGTGGATAGTTACAAGTTTCGGTTTTGAGTAGCGTTTTCTGTGTGGAAGAAGGTAAAATTGCACTTTTTTAGTTCTACTGGTTTCGCCTTTTTTGAAAGGAAGCAACCTACTACAACGAAAAAAATAATAATTATGGACTCTCAGATTCCACTCATATGGAGATGGTGCCCAAGGATATGATACTATGCTGCCTGGGAATCGAAGCAATCAACTCAATGCATCGGAGTTGCTTCAACTTAGAGTGAGCATTTATCCACTCTTTTGGCTTTTTTGCTTGTCTTTACTTGTTATCGCAACCCACGCAGGTGATTTCGATATTCCACATGAACCACGTTGGGCTGGTGGGGCATGCCAAACAAAGTGTTAAGATGACAACGATTTGAGCGAAGTTTATAGGATTCGAAATCTTGAGAAGTGATTGAGAAACCAAACTTTAACTGCAGGCCTATATTCCGATCTTCTCAATTAAAGCATATTATACTCATGCTAGTATGAATGCCGAAACTTGATTTTGTCGCTTTACTTCCCCCTCGGGCAAATGCAGAGAATTGCTTCACAATTATGCATCCAAAAGTGGTGTGGCGAGTACTGTGCCGCGGCTGTTTCCAAAAAGCGCACTGCTTTATTCGTTCCCGTAATGTTGTGCAGGGTACATAGTGCTTCTGTATCTGATTCCTTTTTCAAGTTATTGGTTATAAAGAGTGGCCGGTCTGAGGATGTTGCTGAGGTAAATTCGAGGCTAATGCTGTTTTGCTTTGCTTTGTCCTCTCCATTTATAATCCTAAGTTTGACCGCTCTTTGAGACGGTGCCCGATCGTTGTGCCCTTCGGTGCCCACATCGAGCTCAACCATGGGATTTTCGCTGGTCCCCCAAAACGCTCGTGAACTGTGGAAGGAGTGGGAGCTGCGGGTGCTCGTCCTCCTCAGCTTGTTCCTCCAATTGACCCTCGCGACTCAGGGCAGCCGGAGGAGATCCATGTACAAGTACTGGATCCAAGTCGTGGTCTGGACGACATACCTATCGGCTGACTCCATCGCGACCCTCACGCTCGGCGTCCTCTCGAACCGTCTAGCCAACATCAAGGAAGCGAAGGGGATGATCGATCCGAAGAGCCAGATCACAGCGTTCTGGGCACCGTTCCTTCTCCTCCACTTGGGCGGTCCCGACACAATCACCGCATATGCCCTGGAGGACAATGAGCTATGGCTGAGGCAGTTGGCACGGCTTTGCGTCCAGGTAGGACTAGCTTGTTACATTTACTTCATGGCCTTGTCGGGGACAACACTATCGATATTAGCAGCTGGTATGAGCCTGGTGGGGTTCATCAAATATGCAGAGAGAACATGGTGTCTGTACTTTGCAAGCGAAGGTCGACTTCGAGATTCGATGCTTTCGCTTCCCGATTTTGGTCCCATATACCCCAGGATAATGGAGCAGTACACTCTGAAGAAAGAGGAGGGTTACCGAGTCGGCATTGATGAGGTCACGGAGGTTCTGGCTCCGGAGGATCTCTCAGTTAACAGCAGTCAAGCCATTGACGAAGAGAAAGCCACGACTCTGGTCAAAGCCTATGAGTTGTTCAAGATCTTCAAGCTTCTCTTCGTGGGCCTTATCCTCAACTTTGGCGACCTGGAGGCCAGTAAGCGCATGTTCATGAACCGAAACATGGATTCCACGATGGCTTTTGGGATCGTGGAGATCGAGCTCGGGTTCATGTACGATCTGCTCTACACCAAGGCACTGTTGCTGAACCGTGCTTGGGGCACCATTCGTTGGGTCATTAACCTCTCGGTGCCGTGTGCCGTGCTGGTATTCTTCTCCTTACAGGATAGGAAGGATTACCCCAAAGTTGACGTCTGTATCACCTTCTTGCTGGTAAGTGTGGCGATACTTTTAGAGATGTACTCGGTTCTTCTCGCAATTTCATCCGATTGGGTTGACCACTGGCGGCTTCAGAGACCTGAGGCATCCACAATGTCATCTGCCGTGGCTTTTCTCCAGATCTGCCCGAGCAAAAGATGGTCGAATTCCGTGGCCCAGTTCAGCCTCTTGGGATTATCTATCAGGAAAAGAAACAGGATCTTCCACAAGTGTCCGAGGCTCGCAAAGTTAAATGAGAAGTTGGAGAAGAACTTCCACATCGATTACAAAGTGTTCAAGACCAACATGAAAGAATGGATCTTAGGTCACATGAGGGATACGGTCGATTATCTGGCACAGAACAGATCGAACGGCGGGTTGACGAGTCTTAAGATGGAGGCTAGCGATGTACTGAAGACGTCAAATAACGTTCACCTGAACTGGAGTGTGAAAGAGATAGAGTTCGACCAGAGCGTCCTCATCTGGCACATAGCCACTGAGCTCTGCCACTACAATGACCATGACAAGAGGCAGAACCATAGCTCGGAAGACGTCACGAACTACAAGATGAGTAAGTTGGTCTCTCGGTACATGCTCTATCTTTTAGTACTGCATCCTTCTATGTTGCCAACAGGGATAGGGGTGCTCCGATATGAAGATACTTCGGTCGACGCTCAGAAGTTCTTTGAGGACAAGCTAGCGGTATTGTCAAAGAAAGAAACCATCACCATCTCATCGATTGTCAAGAAGTGGGTGATGAATTTATTCAAGAAAGAGGAACATGTCCACACCAACGTCAAAAGCTGCAACAAGGCGCACAAGTCAACAGAGTCCCGCGATCTATGCGAAGTCTGCCATCATCTGCTCCAAGTTGCAACTCAGCTGCCCGCCAAGAAAATAAGCCGTGGCCAAAGCAGGTCGGTGCTGTTTGATGCGTGCCATCTCGCATCCCAGTTGAACAAAATCGAGTCGAGGGACTTCGGCAGGAAATGGTACTTGATCGGCAAGGTCTGGGCGAAGTTTCTGATATACGCGGCTAGCCAGAGCAAAGGCAACGAACACTCCGAGAGCCTGAGCAGAGGAGGAGAGCTGCTCAGCCATGTTTGGCTTCTAATGGCACATCTCGGCGTAGCGGAGCCAGTGCAAACTTCCGAAGCACAGTGCATTACCAAACTGATCGTGAACTAGAACTTTCAGGTGGAAAGTGTTTCTTTGGTTAATCTACTGTTGTTGTTTGAGTAGGATAAAAGAAGTTAAGCTCATCATCTTGAGATGGTGAGGGAGTTGTTTCCATATTTGATGTGCTTGAGGAGTGGGGAAATAATGAAACTGTGTGTATCAGTGGTTGTGAACCCAGTTTGGGGTTTTTCACCCGGTTTTTACACTTTTAACTTTGGGAAAGATTCTACCAAATAAAAAAAAAAAACTTTGGGAAAGCTAGTATGTATTTATTTGCGAGATCAGGCCTGGTAATTTTTTTAGAGTGATTCGTAAATTTCAATTTAAAAAAAGAAAGAGCAACTTTTAACCTATCATAAATTAGTAGCTAGCTTGTATATGTGCTTAATGACATTTTACTTAGAAGAATCCAGTTTAGGGCTGGTTTTTGCCTTTTTATCACTTCTAGTTATGACTTTCTTTAAAAAAATTAAAAAATGTAAAAAATTATTTTAAGTTCCTAAAAAATAATGAAAAACTCGCTATACATGGTTCCGCGTGATAATATTTGAATACCTTGGAAAGTTTCAAGTTTTTCATAATATATAAAATTCAAAATTTGAGCACCGCAAAATTCATGGAAAATTAAAAGTAACTCTTTATTCCTTAAATTGGTTAGCAAATCTCACACTCTAATTTTAGACGGTTTGATTTTCTCTGTCTTTCTGTTTATCTCCACAATATCATGCAGCAACTTCTCCTTCTCCACATATTTTAAAGGTAAGTTATGGCTCTCGCAACTGACATTTCCTTGCTAATTAATTCTCATTTTACGAAATTTTAATACAACGATTGTTTATAATCCATGGCCTTGATGGCCACGAGCTAAGGTGCCCTTGCCTCGCCCTCTGCCGAGCCTGCGGACACTATCACGAGGCGTGGCCAAAGGTGAGGCCTTCGCGGCCCTCGTCCATTGGCCAGGGAGCTCCGGCGACCCTCGTTGGCCACGGTGCAAAAAAAAAAGGAAAAGAAGGAAGGAAAAGAAAGAAACAAATAATTCGAAAAGATTATTTAAAAATGTTCACGTCAGCGTCGGTTGTGCCACGTAAGATGGCCGGCGTGCACGTCAGAGATTTCCGGCCAAAATTGGCCATATGGACTTAATTGGCAAAACGTGAAAATGTTTAGAACTGTATTAACATAATTAAAGGATTTGTAATTGAATTGGCACAAATATAATAGGTTTAGGACTTTTTTTTGGTAATTATCCCCTCAATTCCCGACCCCGCGCCATCAAGCCTTTTTGTTGTAGCAGTCCAACTCGCCACTGTATTGACGAGCCCGGATCACCCACCGTCCAAGTAGCTTTTTGCCGTGAGGCAAAGTCCAGCGAGCTTTTTTCGTGCAGGTTTCCTGACGTTCACTGGTTGGTGATTCAATCTCGTCACCATGAATAGTGCCCAACGCAGCCTTGCCTCCTCCTCCTCGCCGGTGTACCTCACCACCGGCCCTCACCACTTGCCAGTCGTGCGCCTTCCACCGTCTCTGAGCCCGCCGCAGCCGGTCCGTTTTGGAAAGAAAGTCCTGCTTAAACCAAATTCAATATGTCTATTTCATTGCCTAATTTGCAACTATCGAATCTAACATGATTTCCCATAGATTTTCAAGCATTATCCAATTAGGGGATTTTATGTATAAAAATCATTATAATCACTAATTGAACCGAGAGACTTCTAAATCATTTTTTTGACTATCTTGATTTTTCATGTTGAGTGTTGATGAATATTGCATTGTGGGTTTGATACATTTCATATTTCTTTTAATTTGATGCGCTTTCTTATGTTGAAATACAAAAAAAAAAAGAAAAAGAAATTGCCCTACATTAGGATAGAGTAGTTTCTTATTTAGAATTGCATGTTTAGGAAGTATGTGATAATTTAGCAAATTTTCCAAGTTCGAATAGGATTCAATAAATTAATTCCCAGTTTAAATTAGATAATCTCACACTTTCAATAGTTTTTATATCTTGAATTTAGAAGAAAATCAAACAAAAAAAAAAACATGTGCATATCATATATAGTTGCCACGTCATCTAGCCATGTCATTGTGCCATGTCATCACGTTTGCCACGTCATCGCCATGTCACATTTTTCATGTCATTTATATATTGCATGTTTAAGTTCATTGAATTTAAATTGCATGCTGTGTTAGAATAGTTCATTTTTCTTTGCTTATCATCAGAATTAGGTTATATAGATTGCATATTACATGTCGTGTTTAATTATTAGCATATATAAATTTTGATTGTTTCTCATACATTGAATATAGTTTAACTTTAATTTTAAAAGAAAAACCCCAAAAAAAAGTTAATTAGAATTACGTTAATTATCTAGAAATCGTGTTAGGCTAGGCATTGCATTTTTAACCAACACTTTGCATATATTTGGAAATTGATCTTAATAAGGTTGTGCTTTGCTTGCGTAAGGTATTTAAGTTCTTGCCCTATTCTAGCAATTTACTTATTTCTTTGGTTTATTGAGTGTTAGATTATTGATTGCGTACTCGCATGATCATTCTTGTATGTTGGTGGTTTAGGCTTAAAATTAACGAAGACTGCTTGCAAAATATTTTAATAAAATAAAGAGAAAAGGTACTGAAAGTATGTTGGATTAATCTAATATAATCAAGTCCTCGAATCTATTGAATCTCTAGTTTATAGAAAAAAATAATGTTCCCACACTATACTTGGATACTAATTGATCCATAATAGATTAGTGGCGACTCCTAATTGAATTGCATGTTAAAATCAATTCGAAAGTTGCGATTGGTAGGGCTTGGAAGAGTCCATGCTAAGTCTTTGAGCGTAGTAGTCTATTAGTTTTCCCTTGGGCGATTCACCTCTGAGAAGGTCGCGACATTATTAATATTTTCTAATTACTGAATTACCGACGAGAAAGTTACCTTTAAGAATAGGTCATATATTTTATGATACTTTGGTAACTAGCTCAAACAAACGTCGGTAAACAATGAGAAAGATTAATGAGATTTAGTATCCTAAGTCAACAGATAGTTCCCATCACCATAGAATAATCTTCACGACAGTGCATCGGTGAAATGCCCAGAAAAGCAAAAGAAACCGCACACCCCAACGCTTCCCATCCTTCAAAAGCCAGTAATCCACTGGCTTAATCTCACTCACAGAAGTACCTGCATAACTATATTCTAAGACAGACATCATCCCAGTGTTTCTCGTTAACTTCATTCTCCTTTATTGCCCATATGTTTTCTTTTTCTCAGCTTCATCCCAGATTTTTGTTTCAGGGGAGAACTGAGTTAAGTTGGCCATCTGGACGATTCATCCCTCACAGTAGAACAAAATTCTGCTTTTTCCGAAGTAGGCTGGTTGTGGTTCGAGCTGCAGCCCGCCCGCTCGACGCTTTCGACCTCGTTTCTCCCTAACCGTGCACGAAATTAGCGGCTTTCGAACCGTAGCTCAACAATGGATCAACATATACACCCGGTTCTGTCAAAATATACCTGACGAATTCGCACGGTGTTTCTTGACAACTATCGATCCAAACATTATCGCTTTCTTCTTTCTTTTTACCTCTTTCCTTATGATACTAAATGTGAAGTGCATAATTAAATACGCAAATGACTTTTACATATTAAAAATGGAAAAGTTCAAATCAAATTATGTTCGAGTTACAGTTTGATTTACTTCTTATGAACGGTCAGTAATCTAAAATAGACAGCCAGATAGACAGATAGACAAATAAGTATCATAGATCAGCGGACGGGGTCCGGAAATAGAAAGACATTAGTACACACGACACGAGTGATCGAGTTTTCCTTTATTTATTACTAGCTAACAAAAGCGCGCACGAAGTAGTCATGCGCGACCGTACGCACTTATCACTATAGTCACTTCCATGAAGGCAATTCCTCCGCAATTGCTCCTTATTGCATATATAACTTGCTTGGCGAGATCACATGGTCTTGATCTGGACGGACTTGATGACGAGCCCTGCCCTCCACCTTCCGAACAGTTGCTCCATGGCGAATTCCATCTTGCCCACGTTCTGCGCCGTCATGTTGAACTGCCCGACCTCCAGTTCGTACCATGGATCGTTGTCTTGTAGTTTTTTTCCGGGCAACTCCGCCTGCCGCTCTTGGTAGGTACCGTCCGGGAGAGTCAGTCTCAGGTTCACCGACTGTCCGTTCATGGTGCTGTAGGGCGTGTTATCGATCCTCGTCCGAAACGAGACTTTGTACGGAACATTCGGCGAAAGATTCATCGTCCAGAACGACCCCCTGACTTCCAGCCACCTTGTCTTCACCACTTTTGCCATTTCGATGCCATCACTGGAGTAGTTTTTTTTATTCGAACGTTATTGATCAGGATAATTATTACGTCTACTGTTAGTACAATTATTTGTTTTTTACACATTCATCGTTGGATGGGTGACATGTAGATAAATACGGTCACATAACGATGAATGTGTAGAAAGTGCTTTATATCGACAGTAGACTCAAAAAAGTCTTTGCTAAAACTATTTAGAGATCGATATTAGACAAACTCTATATGTCGATGGTAAGCAGAAATCAAAAGTTAAAAGCATATTAAGAAACCAATATATAAACTTGACCGTTCCTTATTAATTAATTACCAGATTAATTAAATATTTTTTTTAAAAAACGACAACTCTTCTTGATTAATGGAGTCTAGTAGGTACTTGGTGAGAAGGTAACTCTGCAATTTTCCATACACTATTTTTCTTTGGTACGTGTAATCAACACTTTAGAAATCAAAGCATTCCATATTAAGTATGCTTTGCAAGTGTCTCGGGACACTTGTTAACAAAAACCAGTTTACTAATGATCCATATTAGTTAGACAAAAAAATCTATAAAAAAAATAAAATTGGATGCCATATTTATCATGAAATTATGAATTACTGGAACAAAAATGCAAGTAATAATACTTAAAAATGATAAATAGAAATAATGGCTAATAGGTCAGTATCCATCACTCCGTAATAATACAATGATATCTCATAGAATAATGGGTATTCTTAGAGAAGCTCAACGGGCTTTTCTTCCTATTTACCTCTTCAATCTCTTCTCCTCCTTTATCATTATTTTTAATATGGCTAACTATACAGACCTATTGACACCTAAATTTTGCCAAATTCATTTAAAGTTTAATTGTATAAAAAATTAGGGTTTAATTTTTAACCCCTAAACCAAAATATTTTCGTTAAAACTGGGGGGCATATAGACTTTAGGTGCATTTGCGTTAATAGGATCTATTAGAGCATAATCATAAAAAAAAATAAATTAAAAAACTTAATTAAATTAAATTTGAAAAATTAATTTTTACCAAAAAAAGAGAAGAAGAAGAAGGGCTTTTCGGGCCGGTTCAACCCGGTTCGAACGGACCGGATCAGCCGGTCCATTTTTTTTTTTCGTATTTTCCCACGCGGGCCGGCCACTTTTCCCCTTGGCCCGGCCCGCGACTGTTCACCTTCTTCCCCCTCAATGTGGCTAGTACGGGGGAGAAGAACAGAGCAGTCGGCAGGGGAAATGCAGGTCAGAGGAGCAGATGGTGCAAGGAGGTAGCATGATCCGCGAGTCGGGAGATCGGCCGGCCGCAGCAGGCTGACGGTGACAGGGGCCATGCGCGCCTGCTGGCTGGCCGGCCTTAAAACGGGGAACCGAGAGGGGGAGTTTCTGAGAAAAGGAGAGAGAGATCCCGGGAGAGAGTGAGGCCGAGAGCGTTGGAGAGCGAGATCTGAGTTGAACGATCCCCCGTCGGTGACCACCACGCCTCAACCGTGGTCGGCGAAGCTCCGACGCACCCCATTTCTCGGGGTAGGTCCCGGTCCCGAGCCGTTGTCGGGTTTTGTTTGGTGTGATTCGGGTCGATTTCCCTAGGATTTCGGCTCGGAGGCGTGCGAGGCGACCGGACGTAGTTCGATCTATCACTTTTGCCCCCGTTTGCCGCCGCCGAGCCGAAAAGGGAGTGCCGCAAACGGCCGCCCCTCCTTCCCCTGTTTCTGTTGCGTTCCCGTGTCTCGGGCTCACTGGCCGGAGCTCGCGGCCGTCCAGATCGCGCGAGTTCCGGCCCGTGACGCCTCGTGCTTGCTCTTGCTTCTCCGTGCATCTTGTGTCGATAATTTTGGTTCGTTTTGAGCCTCGATCGAGCCTAGAATCACTCGTTTTTGTAGCGAGCCCCAACTGTTCGATGTTATGCCTGAACCAAGCTTCTTGAATTTGTCTCTGTTCTGTTGCGTTTCTTGTGCTGGAACGCCGGATGGTCCCGGCCGGCCGCCGGTTGCCACGGCGGTGACGCGGGCAGAGGAGGCCCACAGATAGGGCGACGGTCCGGGCGTGACCGAGAGAGGAGGCAGCCAGCCGGTCCCTCGCCGGGATCTGGCTGGTTCTCGGCCGGCCCGCCTCTCGTCAAGGCTTAGACGGTCCCAGTCGGCCGTCGGTCGCCATGGCGGTGATCCGGACGGAGGACGCCCGCCACCCCTCGTCGGGGTGGCTACGCAGACGGGTTAGGCACCGGTCGCCGGCATTAGGGCTAGCCGCGAGCGTGAGGAGGAGGCGCGAGTCGGGTCGGCGATTGGTAGTCGGGTCGGTCGAGCGGGTCGTAACCGGGTAGGGTTTGGCTCTAGGATTTCGTTTAAGTGGGTCGGAATATGTATTGGGCCGGTATATTTAGGGCTTTGGGGTTTTATTTTCTTGTTGGGCACTGGGCTTTTGTTTTTTTAAAAATATTTCGGGCTGGGCCCTTTCCCCATTTTTTTTAAAAAATAATTTGCCAGACCGGGCTCAATAAATGAGCCCGATTCGGTTGTGGACCTGGGCCGGCACGCCCGGGTCAGTTCCCATCCGGGTCGGATGTGGAGATCCGACTTGGGTCTGTTTTTATATTATATTATTATTTTAATAATTAAAATATTTTTGAAAAAATTTTAAAAAATTATTAAAAAATTAAAAAAATTTCGAAAATCAAAAAATATTATTTGGCCTTTGGAATTGGCTTTTCTTGCCCTTTTGCGTGATTAGTGTCATGTTTGATTGCATGTTCCTTAATTCACACACTTTGAATTGCGCGTTTAATTTAACATTGCATGTGGTTAATTAGGCATGTTAGGTTCATGTATTGATTATTGCTTTCCTTAACTTAGTTAGGGATGGAATTTTGAGATTTCCAATTAGTGTGAACATGTCAGGCAGTGATTGAACAAGGTTAGGTACCGAAAGGGCATTAGTTGATTAATTAGTGCAATCAAGTCCCCGTACACATTGAATCTCCGGTTTGTAGAAATAAAGCATTTCTCCCATGCTTTACTTGGGTGTCTAATCGATCCACCAAAAAACTGATTAGTGGTGACTCCTAGATGAAATTGATTCGCATGTTAATAATTTAAACCTAAGTTGCGAATTGATATGGGCTTGGGAGAGCTCGAGCTAAGTTTAACTTAGTAATCCATTAGCTAAACCCTTGGGTTGCAAGACCGGTTCAGGGAGGTCGCGACAATATATATATATATATATATATATATATATATATATATATATATATATATATCTTTATTTATTTATTCATGAAAGACAAAATAGCATCTCTACTCTCTCCCGTATTTTTCCCAACCACCGTAAAGCCCAACACCCCTAGAAACCCATCATACTCTGTCCTTATTTTTCATCTCACTCAAAAAGAAAACATATAAAAATTATAATGAAAAGCAGAAAATATGAGAAAAGCTCAAGAATCTTATAATTTGATATAATTATAACTCGGTTAGGTTTGATCAATTAAGTAAAAAGGATAAAAGCGACGAGAAACTACAACTACAATATTATGACAAATACATTAAAGTTAATAGTACAAATAAAATTTATCAAGATTTCAGAGACTAAAATAGGTATTATTTTCTAATATTTGAGCAAGTCAAATCGGTCATAGTATATAATGAACTTACTAATGTTGATAGCAATATTTAAAGATGAAACTAAAATTTTATTCATTAAAAATATCTTGCGCTCTTAATTTAATTGGCTCATCGCGCCCATATGAAGGCAAAAATGAAAATTTAGATACCAAGACCGAGGAACGGTTCCTTCTTTTCTATGGTGGGATTTAGTCGAAGAGTTACAAATTTACCTCTACCTTGAAAGTACATATATAGGAAAAAAATAGGGAGACTTCAACACCATAATTTGTTTGGGTTTGAAATTGTCTAATCATATTATTCTGGGTTTGAATAAAGTAATGATTCAATGATTCGAGACTATAATCGATGTATTGCTTTCGTTTTTTGAGTTTACTATTCAAATTTTTTCGATGGTTACTTCTCGATTTATTCATAATATCGAAATATTTTGCAAATATTGAAGATTATAAGCGTGCGTAGCATGGGTACGAACACTAGTATACAAGTCAAAATCCATATCTCAAATTTGGTTGGTGAAATCACGTGGACATTTAACGTGTTCAAGTAGAACAAAAAATTTTATCTCGAGGAGGTGAAAAGAAATAACCCTAGCCATCTATCTATGTAGCACAAGAGGGTGAAACATCAACAACATTATACACAAAGAATAATTCCACGAATTACCAATTATAAGAAAGAAGATAAAGATCAATCTTTTTGTATACTTGCATTAATACCCTCAACCAAATTTCTGTCTCTTTCTATGGTTTCCCCCAATTTTTTTCCCAAAAGAAATCCCCGTAAAATGCCTTCCTTTATCTTTTTTATGTTCCCCTTTATCCGATGTCATTCATGCTATACCATAACATGAAAAATCCTAATTAGAGTCGTAGCGTAAGGCGAGGTGCACATTATGATAGAAAGATACATACAATATTTTTTTAGCGAAAAAAAAGAAAAAGATACGTACAATATTTTGTTCTGAGGATTCGAAAGTACCTGTCGGTCAACCATTGCCAATAGACAGGTCTATCGCTGTTGGTGATGTTGAGTCCCCTAGCATAGATTGCGAAGCAGTCATGTCCCTTGTCAACCCAATACCTCTGCCACAGACAGCGTTTCGAAATGTGAGCAGGGAAAGCATCTATCAGTGCGTGTGCGTAGGTCAAAGTAGAAGGAAGAGGAATTCGAAACGACATTTTTGAGTGATCGTACGATATATGTGTGTACACATGCGCATACTTGTGCGCAGTTAAAATTATCACTGAAACACAATATTGTTTTCTAGAGCAATGTTCGGAGCAAGTGAGAAAACGCTATTCGTGTAAAGACCTATCTCGTCCGACGGATAAAATATAATAAATTAGTTAAACATGAAGAGGAAGAGATGCCGATGCCATTGAGTACGAGTTTGAATCAATCGACGACCACATCTCTTTGACATGTAAATTACTTTACTCCATAACAAATGAAGAAAAAGGGACACGCACATGTATATACACGTATGTACGGACGTTCAAATGCAGAGAAGAATTTGTGCGTCTTTCTAATAGCGAGTCTCTGAACTTTTCCGCAAAAATGTATATACATGCACCTGTATATCTTTCATATATATCCATTATATGATTGAGAGATCGAGAGAGAGAGAGAGACAAAGGCCTTGCCTTCTTCTTGTCTTTGTAATCAACGCCAGCACTGAGAAGTTTATCGATCCTCTCCGGGTTGTTTTGGTACTCATTAGGATCGACGTCTTGGCCAGCTTCCATCAAGAAGCCGATCTGCCTGTACTTGCTCATCGCCCAAGATTGTTGTGCCATTTTGTTCTTCAGTAATGTTTGATGCCGATCAATCCATCAAGAGAGAGGGCTTCTATATATAGTACCGAATAGCACGCACTTATCAGGGTTAGTTCGGTCTTTTCTCTGTTCACGATGGGAATAATTATCCACCTTTCTTCCTTCCTTCTTTTCGTTTTCTCTTCTTTTTTTCTATCTCTTTTTTTTTTAAAGGTTAATACTACGAAAACCCCCAAATTGATACATTTGTGATAAATTTATTCCAAATTAATTTTTTGACCACGAATAACCTCAAACTGGTACACCTGTGACAATTTTACCATTTGTTAGTTTTCGTTAAATTTTAACGTTAAATTTATGAGTTGGATGACATATGGCAGTTGACGAGTGTACTAGTTTAGAGTTTTAGCCTCTGTCTGTCACAGGTGTACCACTTTGTGGTTTTTTGTTATATTAATCCAATTTAACGGAGGGTAAATTTGTCACAAATATACTAATTTGGGATTTTTTGTGGTCAAAAAATTAGTTTAAGGTAAATCTGTCATAGGTGTACCAGTTTAGAGTTTTTTATGGTCAAAAAATTAATTTGGGATAAATTTGTCATGGATGTACCCGTTTGGGGTTTTTCGTAATATTAACTCTTTTTTTCTAAATTAAGGTTCCGTGGAATTGATGATCTCTCATGGATAGATACTTCTTGTCTATGCAAACCTAACTCTCTCTCTCTCTCCCTAAACGAATAATTATTAATAGTTTCACAGTTGTCTAAATCTAAATCATCTGAAAAGCTCACAGATTAAGTGCGCGCAAGTTCAAAATACCAACCCGATATACCTACGCTTATGACAAGTACACTTGTCTTGTCCAATTTGATCTTGTCTACTTTGCTAGAGGAATATTGTGTCGAGAGCCACACACATGTTGTACGTGATCCCTTTTTTTCTTTTGATTCAAAGCGTCTCCTTTTAAAAGTAAAGAATAAAGTTTCGGACTCTAAAGCTCATGGTGGAAGAAGAGGGTCACATGAGATAAGTACTGGATTCTCCGTTTGGGCCATTCACCACAAGTTATTCTAAATCTCTTATGATCGTCAATTTCTTGTGAGAGGAATAATTATGCAGAGAAGAATCCAAACTCCATAGTTAAACGGAGAAATGAGACGATGTACCTGTTAAATTGATGAGGTCCACATACAAAAAAGATTGATTGATAATTGGAGCAAAGAGAAAATGGCTCGAGGCTATAAACCAACGTTAAGGGATATTCGATGCAAAAATTGCCTTGTGGAGAAGAAAAGCATGTACATAAGACTCATCGAAATTACATATTTAATCGGTCATTGGTGCTCTTAGAAAATTCACTCTATAATGAAAGAGTTACTTTTGCTAAGACTGGTGGAGCTTATGAAGTATTGTTAAATGCAATTTGATCCTCTTAGTAGAGGACTTCGATCATGCGATATGATGTTTGCATGGCGAAAATGAAAAAGAGATTTTCCACGGTCGATGTACAGCGCAAAATATTATGCTTCACTATCCAAATTACAACTTGAGGAGAAAGAAAGATTCTAATTCTTTTAGAAAAGAAAGCACGTACGGAACATTCCGATTTGATGCCATTTGCCTATGCAAATGGTGTGGATGTAGCAATCAAGGTCGGTTCAGTTCGTGAAAATGTTTCCAGTTTTTATTTTCATTGAAAATTTGAGAAAAGAAAACTTGTGGTTCTAATATAGCTCGTTGTTGGCGGAAAATATTCTCCTTTGAAAATATTTTCCAAGTCATTTCTGGAAAATGTATATTTTCCGCCAAACGAACGGAGCTTAAGTGAAAATAATATGACAATGTTGTTTTTATGAGCAACTTTTAATATATGAAAAACATTTTTATTCGATAATTGAATTGATCTTCTTTACCGCAAACATCCAAACAAACTTGAGGAACTGGTTCCAATCGTGTAACAAAAAATTGAGCTAGTATACATTTTCAGAAAAGATTTTTTCTTTTAGGACTCAGAAAAAAGGGGGAAAAATGGAAATATAAGTTGCTTGTTTCTAATAAGGTTCGACTTATGAATTGCCAAAAGAAGAAGGAAGGAATTATTCCAAAAGTGTCATCTCACGATGACTTATCACATACTTGTAAAGGAAAGGATGAGAACTATACTTTGCCCACCGAAAGATCAGATTCTTTGATAGAGGAGTCACAACAACGTTCTTATGGAGACTTCACAATGGAATAACTAATGCTTTTTAGGTTGCCGGATAATGCAAAGCGGGGAACAAAAGACATTGTCTAGTCTATGTGCATGTTCTCGTTCAAGGTATGCTATGTACTAGTATTCCATTAGAATGAGATGTTATGAAAGAGAAAAAAGATGAGATTCATACAATTGCAATATGTTATATTTTAGGAAAATGACATAAATTATCCATGAACCTTTGTCCAATATGTAATGCGGTCTTTAAACTTTCAATTTATTAAATGTAGTCCATGAATTTTTGGTACATGTTCAACTTAATCCCTGAAATATATGAAAATGTTTAATGTCATCCATGCACTTGAATTAACAAAAAGAGAACATAACATTGAACATTTTTCATATAGTTCAGGGATTACATCGACCAAATTGAAAGTTTAAGAGTTACGTTGCACATTGGGCGAAAAGTCAAAAGACCGTTTGTGTCATTATCCCTTATATTTTTAGAGAAGAATATCATACTTTTTGAAGTCGTAAGATTAATATGTGGTATTTCCATTGATATGAGCACAATTCAAGGGTCTTAATGGCATTATCTCCAAAAAGATAGCACCATCTTTGATTCCTTCTCATGAATCAGATAGGGCCTTGAAGGCTTGGTCTCTAATGGAAGATGGTCGAGGTCTTGATGACCCGAACATTTGGTAACGTCTTAACAACTTGTTCCTGAGGTCCTTATGACAGAAATTTTGATTGAGGTAATGATGACGTAAATCTGATAGGTTTTTGGGTTTTCGAAATTCTTTATATTTCAGGAACATCTTAATAGCAAATCTACAAAATTTAAGGTCTCCATCTATTCTGCCTAAAATGAATTGAGAGGCCTCCTATTTATAGAGTAGTTCGATCAACATTTACTTTGATTTAAATAAATATCCAATCTATCTTGAATTTGATTGGATAAATGTCAATCAACCAATATCTTAACTCAAGTTCAACTGTTTTGCTCATGAATACATATCCGAATTTGATTGGACAATTACACTCGCAAAAAGGAATTGCTGAACATTAAAATATTTATGCAGAATTTCGTAATTGGCTCATATTTTCGCTATTTATAAGAAAGAAACTACGTTCAAGATAAGCTGTGTTAGTGGAGTGTTCAATCTTGAAAGAAACTCTTCCAGTTTTTAGCCAGAGACTTTGTACCCGAGCCTCTTTTTCTTTTCTTTTCTTGAATTCAAAGTGTGTCTCCTTTGAAAAGTAAAAAATAAAGTTTCATATTCCAAAGCCAATGGTGGAAGAAGAGGGTCACCTGAGATAAGTATTAGATTATCCATCCAGCCGTTCACTCCAAATTATTCTGAATCTCTCATGGTCGTCAATTCCTTGCGAGAAGAATAATTATGCGGAGAAGAATCGAAACTCCATAGCTAGACTGTGAAAGCGAGACAATGTGCGTGTTAAATCGACGAGGTCCACGTATGGAATGATCGATTAATAATTTGAGCAAAGAGAAAATGGCTTGAGGCTCTGAATCCATGTCAAGAGATATTCGATGCAAAAGATGAAATCGCTACGTATGGAGAAGAAAAACATGCACGCAAGACTCATTGAAATTACATATTCAATCGGTCATTGGCGCTATCGGCAAATTCGCACCATATATGAAATCTTGGTTGTTGACACATTAATTTTGCTGACAATAAAAAAATGAAATACATCGAATCGATAAAGCTCTAATTAGGCCCAATACTTTCTAATCCATTTAGCATTAGTCCCCAGACCCATTAATTCTTAGGTTTAACCCTCTCATTAGCAAGGAAGCCTCCCAAGCCCACATATCAGATCAGTTTCCTTCACTGTGATGCAAGAAGATTTCTGAGCTGGAGGCTGATCACGGACTCTGTTTTGCGTCATTGGAGATTTTCCTCCGTTCACAAGCTATGAAAGTCACCGTCAAGCACCGTCCGGCGCCGTCGTTCTCCATTACGTTGCCGCCTCGAGTCTCCCCTGTTCTGCTCTGTTCTCTGGCCGAGAAACTCGAAGAGCCTTGTTCGCCGTTGATATCTCGTTGCCGGCTCGAATCTTCACAGGCGAGGCATCCTGAAATTTTCTCTCGTCACTTCGACTGGAAATAGCGACCGAGAGCAGCTCCTCCTCGTTAAGCTCTTCCGCCACCATGTTGGCGTCCCTCATTCGGCCTGTTCTACAGCACGAGGCGGTCAGTTCCTGGTCATAGTTCCTTCAGGATCGATATCACTCGACAACGATTAATGAAGTTCCCGTGGTTGATTCCATCACTAATCACAGCTCTGTCTCCGCTTGTTAACCAGGTAACCTCAAACCCCTTTTGTTCTTTCCAGAGTTCTGAGTCCAAGATCCGTAAATAGGCGTATTAGAAAATCACTTAGAATCATGGCCAATTCTTGATGATTTAGCCTGTCATCATCGTTGATGTATCGATTTTGGATGAGAAAATCACATTATTTCCATGTCTATGCTTGGTACTTGATAACGCACACGAGTTGCTCGACAAAATGTTTCATAGATATGACTTAGAAATATCTTCGGCTTCCATTTTGATGTGATTTGTGCGAGACACATTGATTGGTTAGATATTAAAACTGATTTTGATGCACAGTGAGGTTGCCGAGAGCTTTACTGAGCTTGTGTTCCTTTTGTTTTATGTACTGTATCTTCAACGATGGCCGTCCCGTGGTGATCATCGGCGAGGAAAATAAACGAAAGTTGCCGATATGCATAGTACCGAATCTCTGGACATGTACTTAAATGCCTGAAATTCCCTTGGTAGTTCTTAGCATTCTGGGTACGTTCTGCAACATCGAGACTCTGTCGTCGGAAGGCC